TCCAAGACAGCGACCCGTCTCTCTACCTCTTCCCTGGCTGATCTCTCTACGACCAGCAAGTGATCGAGCCGGCAGAATAGAGCTAGCTCTAATGAACCCCTTGGGCCTAATAGGCTTGAAAAGCTTGATGAATGTCGTTGCTTGACATTTCCTTCAGACTTCCCTCGCCAATGTCACCACCAGGGCCAGGAGAAGACTCGTCTGCACCATCCACCTCATTGGCCAAAGCAAGAGGTTCTTTACCGGGTCGACGAGATGGTCCAGGTCTCGGGGAAGATTCCCCAGCAAACCCTGCATCCACAGAGTCGGCCAAGACCCTTCTCCTATCCCTCGTCCCACGAGGAGAGGGAGCAACCTCGATCTCGATGGGCTTTCTGTCAGAATCCCCCTCCACATCGAGGGCCCCCCTCAATCTCTTCCGAGACTCCCCAGCAGAGCCTTCCCTCTCGGCCCCGAGCCTCCTGTTACATACCTCCACGAACGGAGGAAGCTCATTTGCATAGTGCGATCTTGTAAGCCTACTAAATCGGATTTGTGATTCAGGAAAACCTTTTGCATAGTGAGGAAGCTCATTTGCAAGAAGGAAGAGTGAACCTCAGATTATTATCCGAGCCATATGTATTCCTGATCGGTTGCTATTTGTATTTGATTATTGTTGATCGCTTTTATTTTATCTTTTGCACTACATATTCAACGTCTTTTGTGAAAGATGGTAGCAACTCTATCCAACAATTACTTCATCATTGAAGCGTAAAAACATCATGGTTCCTCAGGCCTATTTGGTTCATTTACTAAAAACAATCAAAAAAGGGTTTCTGGGAAAGAAACACAGATTGCATGTAGGTGGGCCCAGATTTCCAGCATTTTTCGCCCATTCCCTTCCAAGATGACCGAAAATGTTTCTAATTTTCTAATGACCGACCGAATTATTAACATCTCTGGGTATGCGTCCCATGTATATTGTTATGCGTCCCATGTATATTGTTTTCTTTTTTTCCTTTGTTCCAACCAAACAAAAGAAAAAAGGAGCAAGAGGAAATAGATACACCCTTTTCCTGAGTACGTCGCGAACAAAACCGGCCCTAATATTCAACAAAGGGTACAATGAATCTCTCAAGTCTTACAGAAATACGCACTTCACGTGTAAAATTGTAAATCCCTATTGAGTGTTCTGTGTTGTTATCATATACATTAGGCTCCAGAAGAACAAAAATCATCTCTAAATTAAATGATTTGTAGTGATAGGACGACTTCCTTGTACATGTAAATATTGAGATACACCAAGCAAGCTGAGCCCAATGCAGATAGTTGATAAATACATATCTATGCAGTTTTCTCTTCCTAGCACAGATGTAAAACCTTTCTAGGCACGACTAGCCAGATTCGAAGCATAATAGTCCTTTTTCTGGTACGGCTGTAGCGTCTTTCTTGAATTTATAATCCTCTACTACAATATTATAAAAATACAGCCTCTTTCTAACAGTAACTGCAGTCTCTTTCCACCAGTTCAATTCTCAAAAAATCGCCACTCGGAGCCAAACATTACCAAACGTGACAGGTGAAAGATGAGAGTGCCACTGGCAAACGGTAAACAATGTATATTCTGAAATGATGCGGGTGCATTGAGAGCATAATAAAAGCATGTTCGATTGAGAACACAACAAGAGCATGTTATATCTCATGTATAGATCTACATGTTTAAACTATTGAGAGAAAGAAGGTGTGTGACTTCTAGTACTATCATAAACTTCTCAAAAATACCCGGCAAGTCGAAATTGCTTGTACCATCAGTTAGCTGGATAAAGACCATTGAGAACTTAGCAATGATTTTCCCACATAAAGGATATTTCAATTTCCTCAAAAGATACCTGATTTTTCGCACACCATTAAAGGAAATGAGAAACACTTTCATGATTTTTTTTTCAAGAATTTAAATATGTACGCAATAGATCTGGTACATTTTGTCATCGGTACACCAGAGCATAATCCAACTTTTAAGCGTATAATCCCATGTTGATTCAACTCCAAAGGGTATGCGTATGCATGTGAAGCACAAACTCCTCCAAGCAACTTTATTACAGTCTGGCGTATAGGTAACTTCCAGCACCGTTCTTCTTTTGATTGACACTCAGGTAAAATAATTTATTTTCTTAAATTTCTTTACAGATAATTTCCACATTAGGCATGTGTCCTTGATACTCAGTAAAACATAATAACAACCAGCAATTTAGTGTTTTTCTTTCGGGCCTGATCTTCATGTAATATCACTCGCCAAATGGTTTTTACCGACTATATGCATGCACTCATCTGGTTGGAAGTCCTTTGCATATTATTGAATTATAATAGCAACAAAAGAAGTTCAATTCTAGCTCATCATTAATCAGCAGCGCCATACAATAGACACTTTTAACTTTTAAAGTAGACACAAAGACAACAGGAAAAATCATCCTTCAACCTCAGCTGCATCTTTGCCATTTAAGTTAAAACATTCCTTTTCAAATTCTTCAAAACTAGTGGGCTGTAAGTAGGAATAAAACAAGGGCATCATATTCAATATAGTTTGTTTTGCAGGGCCTCAGAAAGTTATCCAATTCAATGAAGTGTTTTTATTTAGAATTAGGAAGATAGAAAGAATCATCCGCAACTTATAAGCTGTGTCAACGCACGTAAACATCCTGACTTAGCAGGAGAATCAATACATTCAAGATCTCAATATGGAAAACAGACTATCAAGAGCGAAAAAAAATGGAAGGAGGTAGGTCTTTGATGAAAATAAAAGATTAGGGACAAGAAAGAAAAAACAAATTCAGACATGAAAAAATTAATATACTCACTAATGAATTAATTGAGGCGCAAGCTTCATAGGATCCCACTGAAACCTTTTAAGCAAATATGGACGTGGAGTCTCATTCTGAACATCCTGCAATGTCAGCCAAAACAAT